CCGACCTCCACAGGCGGGTATTCGGAGGTGCTGTGAAGAAGTCCTGGCGCCATTACATCTGCTCCATTTATCAGGTACTTTATCGCCCCAGCATCAACTACGACCCTCTTCAGCATCCCCGGGAGAAGGTGTACGCCCTTCACTGTGGGAATATACGCATTTTTCTCCTGCTTGAAAATGGGGACTCCATTCCTGAGGATGTAGCAGTCCTTCTCCGCAGTCCTTGCAGAGACAAGCACATCCTCCTTCCTGAGCATCCCCGACGTATCCACAGGGAAGAAAGCGCGAATCTGCTTCACTGCAGAGTTTGTGAGTCTATTCTTTGTCGCAGGGAGAAACATAAAGCAAAAAATATTCGCGTATTTTTTAACTAGTTAGATTTATTGAATAATTTCCTGCACAGATATTTCCAGCCGCACTAGCACTCTGGGACTCTCTGCAAATTTTGCAAAAATAAAAAATAAAATGGAAACGGAAAAACAGCTCCAAGCCACTCTGCACTTCCGCTACTTCCTGCCAAAAAGGCTCATTCTGCTGAGCATTCCAGATATTCCTGCGGGGGAGGGGGGCTTCTCCTGGGGCATGCGGATGTACATGGAGGATATATCGTACGTAACCGGGTGGAAAAGTATCGAGTTCTGGAGGGGGTTAAATGCGACTTTTCTGTTGATTTTATGGAGGTACTCCTCATCCATAAAGTTAGTTGCAAAAAGGTCCACTGTCTGTGCGTATAGAGCGTTCCACTGGGTCATATACCTCTCCAGCGTCCTTCTAGAGGCTTTCGTATTCCTCCCCTCGAGCAAAAGCATCCCTGCCTGGAACTTCTCGACCTTTGAGAGGGCGCAGATCACCTGGGAGTCAAAGTCCTCGGCACTTTTCAGCTGCCGAATTACTTCCCTGTAGTTTCCCTGTGCGAATTCTGCGAGGACTTTCTCGCTCCTGAAGACGAGCTGGACTCCCTCGAAGGAGTGCAGTATCTCCGCCTGGGACGTGGATTTCACGCGGAAAATGTTGCGCAGGGCCTTCTCTGGGATTTTCTCGACGATCTCGTTCATTTTTTCAACGGTTTCCTTATCCGTCTTTTTGCTCGCGTATTCCACGAAGGCCTCTGCCCGCAGCTCCATAAACTTCGTGAATGCAGGATCAGCGGAGTCTTTTCTCACGTTGTAAACAGCTCTTTTTAGAAGGGACTTTTTCAGCTTTCCCGTTTTCAAGTATCTCGCCCTCGCCCGGAGGAACTCCCACTCGGCCCGCATTGCGCCCTCTATCTTCCTGTTTTCCTCCTGCTTCATCATTCCCTTGAGAACTTCCATCGCCCGAGTATTCCTCATTTCTAGCTGTGCTGGTGGTCCGTATACCATATTCACTATCCCGCTTAGTCCGCACCTTTTTAAAACTGTTCCAAGCCCTCTGAAGTCTGGCATGAAAATATAAAAAATCATTTCTATTTCTGCGGGAGAGAAGACTCTGGGAGTTCGGGTTTTGAAAGTGGGGCTCAAACTCGCGCATATTTCAGCACT